GACCAACACACAGAGCTGGGATCATTTGTCTTTGAAATATAAATTATGCAAACGGCTGGAAACTTGTGTTCCAATACAAAATGTTCGTAGCGCTACGACATTCGCATGCCTATGATAAACTATAGAGTTGTCCTCAACCATTGACTGGATTACATTCTCTTCGTCAGCAGAGAAATTTCGACTTCTCTTTTTTCTTGGGGTGCAGGCGACATTTTGTGTTTTCATTTTTGGTAAACCGGAAGTAAACCAAAAACGGAACTATGGGATATATGGAGCTAACCAGTGACGTTAACCACACTGTTAAACTTTGACGGCGACGTTAGCTAACGTCATGACTAACCATGTTTTGAACAAGGTATGTTTAACGTTCGGTTACCTAACGGCCGGTTAAGGATTTAACCGGCCGTTAGGAGTTAACCGGCGGTTAAGATAACCGAGTATTGAACAACGGGGCCCAGATAGATGCTTCAACCAAATATATATCCACCCATGAAAACATTGTCCCACGTTGCGGCACGTCTCGGGGGGAGGGGGTAGCCTAATGGTTAAAGCCTCCGCTTGTCGCGCTGAAGAGCCTAGTTCGATTCCCCACATGGGTACAGTGTGTGAAGCCCATTTCTGGTGTCTCCCGCTGTGATATTGCTGGAATATTGCTAAAAGCTGCGTAAAACCAAACTCACTCACTCATTCACACACTGCTGCACATCTGAGCCAGTAGCATCAGGCAGGTACGACATGTTTTATTTTGAAATGGTGGAAAGTGGGATGTCACTACTTTCACTTGGATATTTAAATACTTTGAGCAAATGTTTTAATATGTTCTCGGAAATTGACTTAATGTATCTTGGAAAATTGATATTTGCAGTAAGATTGTAATCAATTTGTCCACTTTACTTGCCCTTTAAGTGGAGGAAAGCTCTTTGAAACTTAAAACATGACAGGAAATTGCACTTCTGTCTATTGATTTATTTAGTTACAATTTTGAAATCCTCTTAGGGACGCAAAAATACTTACTGCTTAAGTTTATTAGGTTGTTATTCATTTAATATTTTTGCTAGTTTGAAGAAACAAAGTAAAACTGCTAGGGCTGGGATGGGTAACCCCGGATACCCGGGACGGGTGGGTAATATGTTGGACCCGGGTACCCATCTCAATACCCGGTCCTGTTATCATCATGTGACTAATAGATTAAACAATGTAATATGTTATTCTTTCATGATTAAAGGGTTGTATTGTCTTTGAAGATTTAGGCATAATGACAGTCACTTCTTTTGAATGTAATGCATGGTTAAGATATTGAAAAGCATGATATTTTAGCATCCGAGCTGAAGAATATACAAATGTATTGCCATTTCTTACAAATTTCTTACAAATTAACGTGACAGGTATCCGGGTAGGTTAGGGTAATAGTGGGTGGGGTACCCGGGTAGAAAATTTGGACCCGTCTCAGCCCTAAAAACTGCCATATTTCTGTTGCATTTTCAGTGAAGCTGGTAAAGTGTTGTGGTCCATTGTATGCACAGTTTACCTTTAGCCTGCTGATTTTGTTTGTCTACTGGAAAATGTTAGCAGAAGGTGGAAAGGAAAAATGAAAATAGAAGATGTGTCATGTGTCTATTTCACAAATTTAGTTTCCTGATCAAATGACAAAAATGTTTGTATTTTTTTTATGAATTTGTAATGAAGTCAGGAGGCTACTCTGAAGCATGGTCCATGGCACTGTTGATGTAGAAATATCAAGTGGCAGGAACACATATGACAAGATTCTAAATAACAGACTAGACTGAAACCCTACACCTGTAGGAGTTATGACCGACATTGTGGGGGTTCCAGGTCTGAACAGGTACCCAGCCAGGGGCGAAGCTACCATTATGAAAAAAAGGCCGGGCTTACACATGATTCTTGCTAAGAAGGTTGGGCAAGCCCTCAATACTATCTAAATATAAAGCTTTGCAACCTATCGGGCTTACACGGAAAAAATGGGTTGCTACGCGCCTGCTAGCTACCTGGTGACGAGGCGACCATACAGGTGGAATGTGTGTCCGGTGACTGTTGATGGCCTGACACCATCCCCTACGTGTATCACTGCCCACAACATCAGTCACAGACTCCATGTATTGATCACTGGATTGTCTGGTCCAGACTCCATTTATTTACAGACCACCATCATATAGCTGGAATATTGTTGAGTGTGGCATTAAACAACAAACCAACCAACAGCCAGGTAGAAGCATTGCTGACCGCAGCATTAAACAACAAACCAACCAACAGCCAGGTAGAAGCATTGCTGACCGCAGCATTAAACAACAAACCAACCAACAGCCAGGTAGAAGCATTGCTGATTGCAGCATTAAACAACAAACCAACCAACAGCCAGGTAGAAGCATTGCTGATCGCAGCATTAAACAACAAACCAACCAACAGCCATGTAGAAGCATTGCTGATCGCAGAATTAAACAACAAACCAACCAACAGCCATGTAGAAGCATTGCTGATCGCAGCATTAAACAACAAACCAACCAACAGCCAGGTAGAAGCATTGCTGATCGCAGCATTAAACAACAAACCAACCAACAGCCAGGTAGAAGCATTGCTGATTGCAGCATTAAACAACAAACCAACCAACAGCCATGTAGAAGCATTGCTCATTGCAGCATTAAACAACAAACCAACCAACAGCCATGTAGAAGCATTGCTGATCGCAGCATTAAACAACAAACCAACCAACAGCCATGTAGAAGCATTGCTCATCGCAGCATTAAACAACAAACCAACCAACAGCCATGTAGAAGCATTGCTGATCGCAGCATTAAACAATGAAGAAACTAACCACTAAACGCTATGTCAGGTTGGGCCTCTGCTGGCAGCTGCCAAATTCTTAACTGTTGCCACTAATGAAGAGCTGCTCAAGGTGTCTAGGAAATAAGATTCTCAAAAAGATTGTGATTTATCAGCACTTCTGAAGCCTCTTGGCACACTCATTCTCTTACAAGTTTGATCCACTAAAATACATATACAACTAGCCTTGCTGGTCCAAGGCTGTACGGAATGCTGAGCCCATGGATGAATAGTAATTTTATCCTTCGAAGAGGCAAGTCTAGATAAGTGGACAGTACCTCAGTCTTTTATTTATTAATTTTTTTTAGAAATTATCATTTTAACTATTAATGTTTGCCTTAGGGACTTGTGCAAGTGTAACATACCTAAACCTATGTTGCTTGAATTTACATCGTTCTGCACAGTGCCTTATGTTTGTATTTAAATCAATCAAATCAAATCAAATATTTATTGTGCAAACGTTCCATACAGAAACAGTGACAATATTCTATAAACTACATAAACAAGATATGTAATGAATCACATATATATGTTGAGCAACAAAACATATAATAATACAAATGTGTATAATAAAAATAATAATGGCCTAGCACAATCAGATCTTCTATATTTGTTTAAAGTTGTACATGTGGTAGCAAATAATTTCTATACTATTTGGATAATTATTTCTAAAAAGGAGGTTAAATTTTTCATTGGTAGTAAGTCTGAGAAAGTTATATATTTTAGAGGAAAGGGAGTTAAATAAGGACTTTCTTGCATCTGAATATTTAGTGCAACACATGAAATGGTGTGCTTTATCCCCAAGGACAGAGCATTGATCACACAGACAGTCCTCCAAAGGTGTAATGGGGCTTGTTCTCCTACCCAGTTCAATTTTTAGTCTGTGATCACTCAGTCTTAGTTCTGTGAAGTGGATACGGTGTTTTATTATCTTGCAGTGTTGCAGGTATGGTTCAAAGTTGATTTCAGATTTAAATTTTCTATATTTTCTAAGTTTGTTCCTTGAAATTAATGTGTTTGGATTATCTTGAACAGATGAGTGGAACATGTCTGTAAATTTCAGTTGGAGGTCCTTCAGTACAGAGGAGGAAGTAAGATTACTTTCCTTGATGTTAAACTTATCTAAGAGGCAACTGAGTTTATAGTACCATCCAATTTTGTGTTTGGCAATCTTTATTGATTTATTAAAGGCATGTTTTAAAATGGTATTTGGAGATTGTAAAATATGAGTGTTTATAAAAGCAAAATCTTTAAGAAGGGATATTGTGTACACAGCGACTAAGTCAAAGTAATATTCTGGAGCTGAGAGATTTTTCTATGAAATATGAAGCAATTGTGATGTCATCCTGTTGTTCTCAAATTTGTCGTCTCTTCTATATGGCAGCCAACTCATTTGTTAATTCACATGTCCAAGGCTCAAAGAACTTCTAAACTGACAAGTGTGACATAATCAAAGATTTGTGAGCTTCTGTAAATATGTTGATTTTGAACACTGATTGCAAGTCACAATGTTTGACAGTCAAGCCTGCAACTTCAGTGACATGTTTTGTATGGTAAACTTGTTTCCCACTGAGCCACCCAGGTAGGGGATAAAGAGTCTTCAATCTGACATGTCATGACGTCAGTTGTCTTCATGCTGCAAATGGTCTTCCTCTTGCCCTGTCATCGATTCATTCCACAGCGAAGTAAAGCTATAACAGACTCAAGGAACCACTTGATATAGTTCATTATCACTGTAGTTCTTTGGACACATTTTTATTAAAACAACAGGAAATGTACATTACAGACAGTTTACCTTAAACCTACTGTAATGTCTCACAGTGTCCAAATATTTTCTTCTTTCAGATATTTCTTGTATTTGAAAGGTTCCTCAATTACCAGTAGTTAACACATTCTTCTAGTTAAAATATTTAAAGTGAACCTTTCCCTTTTCTTGTGGTTATAACATGTTCAACCCAAACCTCAGAGTCTTGTTGTTAACTGAATTAACGTCTATTCAGTCAGCTGTTTCTACTGTATGTCAAATACCATTAACCTTCACTCTTTTAGAAAGAAATTACAGGAATTGGAAATTTTAATTCTGATTTGTGTGATATGTGTTTTTGAAGTGCCTGGTACATCTGTCAGACTGAGGTGTTCACTGACTCGGTCTTGTGTTTCAGTAGACCAGAAGAGAGGATGGAGGGACGACGAGAGAGCAAGGGGGACGTGGATTACCTGGACCCCAGCGCTGTTGGGACATACAGGTAGGTGTGACAGATTACCTGGACCCCATCGCTGTTGGGACATACAGGTAGGTGTGACAGATTACCTGGACCCCATCGCTGTTGGGACATACAGGTAGGTGTGACAGATTACCTGCACCCCAGGACTGTTGGGACATACAGGTAGGTGTGACAGATTACCTGCACCCCAGCACTGCTGGGACATACAGGTAGGTGTGACAGATTACCTAGACCCCAGCACTGTTGGGACATACAGATAGGTGTGACAGATTACCTGGACCCCAGTGCTGTTGGGACACACAGGTAGGTAGATTACCTGGACCCCACAGCTGTTGGGACATACAGATAGACAGATTACCCCAGTGCTGTTGGGACATACAGGTAGGTGTGACAGATTACCTGGACCCCAGTGCTGTTGGGACATACAGGTAGGTGTGACAGATTACCTAGACCCCAGCACTGTTGGGACATACAGGTAGGCGTGACAGATTACCTGGACCCCAGCACTGTTGGGGTATGAGGGTTGGTGTGCCAAGTGGGGTGGGTACACAGTGAGATGGACAGTGTACTGAGGAGAACACAGTGTTTGGTAGGGTAGAAGTATACTGGGTTCAACTGTTCATGTTTAGTCCTACTTACATCAGCAAGAACAGCTACATGTCACTACTGTGGATGGTCATCAGCTGTATGTTGTCAAACTCAGGTTTAGATTGTTGTCCCCTCCAATCTAGCTCTTCCATCCTAATAAAACTACTCGCCAGATGTTGTTCAATCTGCATGGTAAACACCTAGTTTACCAGTTTGTATGCAAGATGTGTTCAGTGAGAGTCTAGGTGAATGTGAATTAGGCAGCAACAAGTATAGGAAGTATTGGTGCCACAGAAGGGACTGAGATGGGGAATGTCTTAGACCTGCATTGGGCTCACTCACTCACTCACTCACTCACTCACTCACTCACTCACTCACTCACTCACTCACTCACTCACTACTCACTCACTCACTCACTCACTCACTCACTCACTCACTCACTCACTCACTCACTCACTCACTCACTTCCACCCATTCAAGCCTTCTTGTGAAAAACTAGTTTTGCACACAGGAACTTGTGTGGACTATTTGAGCCCCAGTCAGTGCCAGTGTCTCTGTGTTGCCTGGAAGAGAGGAAGTCTGGCCAAGTCTTATCACACTGAAACAGTATATCTGCTGTCAGAAGATGATAAGATTAAAAATCCAAATCTGAAAGCCCCTGCGATGTCTGGGAATGTATCATGTGGATATGACATACTCTACTTTGTCTTAGTTAAGTAATAGATTGATACCGACATAGAGGCAACTTGGAACATGATTTATTCCTGGGCCACAGCGACATACTTGATGGATCTTCACCCGAATCTATAGAAAATATAGGCATGGAAGGAGTAAACTTAGAAAAAAAATAGAAGAAAAATGTTCAAAGCATCTGTGTGTTTTAAATGTTGATTTATTTGATCATGAAATGGACAAGTCTATTCTCAGATGTGTTCTTGGAATGTCAACTGTTGATAAACAGCTGGTGCATTTGGTCCGTTTTACCATTCCTGAATTTGTTTTGATGTCTGACTAATCCGTGACTGTTGTTTATACTGTTATCCTGTCAGGGGTAGTGATAAACTGTGTATCACCATCCGATAAATATGTAAATGGCCATTCAGGAACTACTTTCATTTGGCACTGTACACTATTCTGGTGTTCCTCAAAACATGTTCGGTTATTCTTCCCTCTGTAAATTGGTCTCCCAATGTGTGAGTGCTTATGTAATGAAACTATCTATGTTTAAATACTCCATTCCATAGTTTATGGGATGCATGAATATTATCGTTTAATAAGATGATGTTTGTTGAATGAGATACAATCGACTAAGATGTTTTGATCCAGGCTTTATTGAATAAAACATGCTTATGCTTTCTGTTCCATGTAGATGGCACACAACCAAACATTTGTCTAATATTAGCTGTTTGAAGCCTGATATCCCACACAGAGAGTTTTATTGACAGATATGGAATGTGAGATTTTTTGTCATAAAAACTAATTAGTGATATTTTGAGAGTATTATGCAGGTAAATTCTAGATGTGAAATGATGTCAATAGTTGAGGCTTACGTTGTGTGGGTGTCAGATAAGATAACATATTTATTACATGGCATTCCATGAAGGAACAGTGGCAATATTCTATAAACTACAAATATAAACACAATAGGTACAAAGATATAGAAATACACAGATACATTCCACATATATATGAGGGACATAATGACAATTCCATTTTGAAAACATGTAGTGTGATGATATGGGAACAATATTAGCAGTGAGGAGACTGTCGTAATACAAGGAATCGACCGGTATTATAAATTGTAGATGTAATGAGCTCGTCATGCCGAGACCCGGGTTCGAATCTCCACATGGGTACAATTTGTGAAGCCCATTTCTGGTGTCCCCCGCTGTGATGTTGCTGGAATATTGCTTAAAGCGGCGTAAAACCAAATTCAGTCAGTCTGTCAGATGTGATGATGTATAATGGAAATTGTTCCTGGACATCTGTAACAATTGTTAAGAATTGTTACTTTCTGCAGTGTAGCAGTTCTTGATGATGATTAACATTGTTTCTTTGTTTGCTGTACTATATACAGGATATTACATGGTGTTGCTCATATTCTAAGATATTACATGGTGTTGCTAATATTCTAAGATATTACATGGTGTTGCTAATATTCTAAGATATTACATGGTGTTGCTAATATTCTAAGATATTACATGGTGTTGCTAATATTCTAAGATATTACATGGTGTTGCTAATATTCTAAGATATTACATGGTGTTGCTAATATTCTAAGATATTACATGGTGTTGCTAATATTCTAAGATATTACATGGTGTTGCTCATATTCTAAGATATTACATGGTGTTGCTCATATTCTAAGATATCACATGGTGTTGCTCATATTCTAAGATATTACATGGTGTTGCTCATATTCTAAGATATTACATGGTGTTGCTCATATTCTAAGATAGTCCATGGTCTTGCTCATATTCTAAGATATTACATGGTCTTGCTCATATTCTAAGATATTCCATGGTGTTGCTCATATTCTAAGATATTCCATGGTGTTGCTCATATTCTAAGATATTACATGGTGTTGCTCATATTCTAAGATATTACATGGTGTTACAAGCATATTCTAAGATATTACCTGAAAGTGGCTCATATTCTAAGATATTCCATGGTGTTGCTCATATTCTAAGATATTACATGGTGTTGCTCATATTCTAAGATATTACATGGTGTTGCTCATATTCTAAGATATTACATGGTGTTGCTCATATTCTAAGATATTACATGGTGTTGCTAATATTCTAAGATATCACATGGTGTTGCTCATATTCTAAGATATTACATGGTGTTGCTCATATTCTAAGATATTCCATGGTGTTGCTCATATTCTAAGATAGTCCATGGTGTTGCTCATATTCTAAGATATTACATGGTGTTGCTCATATTCTAAGATATTCCATGGTGTTGCTCATATTCTAAGATATTCCATGGTGTTGCTCATATTCTAAGATATTACATGGTGTTGCTCATATTCTAAGATATTACATGGTGTTGCGCATATTCTAAGATATTACCTGGTGCGGCTCATATTCTAAGATATTACATGGTGTTGCTCATATTCTAAGATATTACATATTCTAAGATATTACCTGGTGCGGCTCATATTCTAAGATATTACATGGTGTTGCTCATATTCTAAGATATTCCATGGTGTTGCTCATATTCTAAGATATTACATGGTGTTGCTCATATTCTAAGATATTCCATGCTGTTTCTCATATTCTAAGATATTACATGGTGTTGCTCATATTCTAAGATATTCCATGCTGTTTCTCATATTCTAAGATATTACATGGTGTTGCTCATATTCTAAGATATTACATGGTGTTTAAAAGTATATTCTAAGATATTCCATGGTGTTGCTCATATTCTAAGATATTACATGGTGTTGCTCATATTCTAAGATATTACATGCTGTTTCTCATATTCTAAGATATTCCATGGTGTTGCTCATATTCTAAGATATTCCATGCTGTTCTCATATTCTAAGATATGGTGTTGCTATTCTAAGATATTACATGGTGTTGCTCATATTCTAAGATATTACATGGTGTTGTCATATTCTAAGATATTCATGTTGTTGCTCATATTCTAAGATATTACATGGTGTTGCTCATATTCCATGGTGTTGCTCATATTCTAAGATATTACATGGTGCTGTTGCTCATATTCTAAGATATTACATGGTGTTGCTCATATTCTAAGATATTCCATGGTGTCTGCTCATATTCTCAAGATAGCTCTAAGATATTCTCTAAGATATTCCATGGTGTTGCTCATATTCTAAGATATTACATGGTGTTGCTCATATTCTAAGATATTACATGGTGTTGCTCATATTCTAAGATATTACATGGTGTTGCTCATATTCTAAGATATTACCTGGTGCGGCTCATATTCTAAGATATTACATGGTGTTGCTCATAGTCTAAGATATTCCATGGTGTTGCTCATATTCTAAGATATTACATGGTGTTGCTCATATTCTAAGATATTCCATGCTGTTTGTCATATTCTAAGATATTACATGGTGTTGCTCATATTCTAAGATATTCCATGCTGTTTCTCATATTCTAAGATATTACATGGTGTTGCTCATATTCTAAGATATTACATGGTGTTGAGCATATTCTAAGATATTACCTGGTGTTGCTCATATTCTAAGATATTACATGGTGTTGCTCATATTCTAAGATATTCCATGCTGTTTCTCATATTCTAAGATATTCCATGCTGTTTCTCATATTCTAAGATATTACATGGTGTTGCTCATATTCTAAGATATTACATGGTGTTGCTCATATTCTAAGATATTACATGGTGTTGCTCATATTCTAAGATATTACATGGTGTTGCTCATATTCTAAGATATT